TGTTTTGGCGTCGATCCGGACCAAGTGAGCGGGTCAGAGGACCGCCGCGTCAGGAACAGGACCAATGTGTTAGGATGTACCCCTCTACAGGCCTCCGAGTTGACCAGGGATCCCGTCAGCGTATCGCCAGAATGACAGCCAGAAGACAACCCATGGAGGACGGAACAGCCCTTCAGCCCTTGGCCGAAAACAATAATGTGCCCCCGCAGTGTTTTACTCAAGCGAGCCTCTTGCCCGGAAAAGGTAAGCGGTCTCATTAGCTTTGGATAGAGAGGGTCCAAAAACTTCAAAAATGAGCCATCCCATCCCATGTTTGCCTGAGCACGTTCATTCCTTTGCAGAATCTACTAGTGAAACAAATGACATCCAAAGGTTTGGGCGTGCGCGTTCCCATTCTCGAGAGCACAAGGACAAAGATAGCCGGGACTGCAACTGACGTAAAACCCAGCGGCGTTGGCCACTGCAAATAACACCAGGCAGCGGGCGCCGCGTGCGCGACGACGATCGCCGTGAAATAATGCCACGGAATATCCTTCAAAATTAATGTGTACCGTTTGAGGATTAGATTGGGCACATCATTTTACAGCTCTGAGAGTGTCCTCTGGACAGCAACACGAAAAATACAGATTCTACGTTAACAGTTACACCAGCACCGGACCCCAGCACCACTTTGCAATGTGGTGAAAGTCGATCGGTTCTAATCATTAATCTAAAACCCACACAGGTGAGCTATACTCCCAGACTAACTCCTAAATGTACGGTTTGTTGTCAGAAAGCCTTCGAAGGTACATTTTCAGATGCGTCGTTATTTTTATCCGCCTGTTGGTGCCGGTTTAGTGCCAGCTGCAGGGCCGACAATGCGCGCCCTGAGGAAACTGCATTGACTGGTGTCGAGATATTTGTTGCTGAGATTTGCGAGCGCGCACGTTCAGAACTATGTTACATAACTTTTAGCACTAATCGATCCTGACCGGTTGTTAGAACTTCCAGACCAACCTGGCTTGATCATCTCCATGCAAATTGTTGGCCAATTCGATCCATAATCTACATTTGCAGAGTCCTTAAAATCTCTGAACAGTCCAGATCAAATTTGATAAAATTTATGGGCTCTATTGGTTTAGAGAGTTCACTGGACGATTGTAAAATCAGGGGCGCCGTCTTTTCCTGCAGTCGTTCAACGCTTGAGCTCTTAAGTTTTTATTACAGTAGCTTATGGCTTCTGTTCCAGCTATATAAATAAAAATATGAAGAACATAACAAGAAAAAACATTTCGTAATTAACAAACGGGCCGTATCAGGCGATTTTTTTAGGGAGGCATTTCACTATCAGCGCCTTTGCCAACTCTGCGCCGCCTTGTCAAGGCTCTGGCTGCGCTCCTCGAGGAAACAGTGCTAAATATCGCTAAGCTCCTTATGAATTCTTGGAGTTAATAGTGTTAAAATGATGCGCCTACCTTTTCTACTTAGCACCGATCAGAAATTAGCTATCAATGGTTGATACAAGGGCGGGTAGGCACGGCTGCCTGTTGACTGATTAGCAGCTGTGCAGTTGACGTTCAGCGCCGCCACACTGCGATGTTGAGGCCACCTCAGGCAAGCACCGTCTAAAATCAAGGTACCAAACAGTCTCTACGTGCAAACCAATGTCACGTTGTTCACTCTCTTTCATCGACATAGAAGCGGAAAGCAAGGAGCCCAGCACGTTCAAGGTCAATTAATTTCCGATGGTATTCGATACTAGATTGTACTTCCAGCCAGAATTGGATCGTGGCCTCCGCCGGGCCCCAGGCGGACAGACTGACCGGGCTGTGACGGGATGCTCAGTACGGCCCCACGTGGCCCTTGCAGCCGGGTCCCAGGCGGACAGACTGAGCGGGCTGTGACGGGATGCTCAGTACGGCCCCACGTGGCCCTTGCAGCCGGGCCCCAGGCGGACAGACTGAGCGGGCTGTGGCGGGACGCTCAGTACGGCCCCACATAAACCTTGCAACAGGTTTCTGATGAGCTGCGGCCGGGGAAGAGCCGGGCTGCCTGACCGTGGCCTCGCTGGGCACCAGCCGGGCACGTGCTGTGCAAATATCAGGACATCGGCGCGGCCTGGGCCGGCGCTGGGCTTCAGCTGGGCCTGTTTGGCCTTATCTGCTAGAGACATTGTAGAACAGGTGGGCACAAGTCCGTGCCAGGGATGGGTTCAGCTCCAGCAAGACATCTGTGCAACGAATGAACGTACAAGATGGCCTCGACAAGGGCGCAAGCTGGACTCTGGCACGGTACCAGCTGGGTTCTGACAGGACGCAAACTGGGTTCACGGGGCGCAAGACGAGTTCTGGCTACGGGAAGCCGTATGCCCAGGTGAGGCTCGGCTTTTTTTGTCCACAAAGCCTAGAGCTACCAAACCACGCAGTGCAGTGGCCGTACGTCGACTTAGCATTTTCAACACCGTAAAGCCAACATTGCTTTACAGGTCAGGTTTTGGGCCCTAACATTACCTGGCAGAAGTATAGGTCGTTTGAAGTGGGAAGCACGGGTGTGGATTCGCATTCTTTTGGGTGGGCCACTGGCCCCCATTCTCCGATTTGCCCCCAACGGTGAGTTTGGCCCCACCTTCTGAAGCCGAAGAACGGGTAGATCACTACATACTGGAAGCCAACATCACATCAATTTTTATGAAGACGTCTATTAATTGTTTCACAACCAAAAGGAACAAAGAAAATGAACACTGCGATGCCACGTTTATTTTAGGGCAGCTGACTGCGCTCAGTTACACTGAGCCTGCAAAAGCTCCGCGTCCGCACTGTGTTCACTGGACTGTTTTCTCTTTTTTGCTTTCAGGATGCACGGTTTTAGTTGCACGATTAAGATGTTATGTTGCCTCTGATGTACTTTTGTGCTATGATCTGAGTGTTTTGGCATTATTCAGCAATGCTTAAATATCCAGAGGATACAGCAAGTTGTATTTTTTGTGTCTACACGATACTATGCCTTATTGGAAATTAAAAACAAGCCGGTTTTATGATGGCACCCAGGAGAGTGAACAAATTCTTAGCCTGCAACGTTCGAAAGGGCCCTTGAATTGTGCCAACTAGCACGACGTAAATATTCGATGGAACAGTTTCGAAAACTTGATCGACACCACCCGACTTTACTGAAAGCGGAAGTCGTCCCACAATGAACACCAAAACAGCACTAGCAATGTCTAACATGCCTAACGCGAGCTTTGTGTTGCAGCCTGTAGCCCGCATTACTGTTACCAGCCGGGGATTTCCGTGACAGCCTTTAATAGTCGCGCACATCAGCTAATTCTCTTCACTCCCACAGTTGTACAATTCCAAGAACGTCTAAAGCCAACTAGCATCGACCCCTGTCGATAACCGAAACCTGGTTTCGACGATCGGGGCCGAACATCATGACATTGCTGTCCGACGGCAACATCTTCCACCAAAGCAGAGAGAGCAAACGTTTTAGAGCAGTGCCGTACTTTCCTATCCAATTGGATAGGAATCAAACACCATGACGTTGAGAGGAAAAGTGATTAAATCCGTAGAGAAAGCTATTTTGTGTTGTGTAAAGTGAGTTCAAGGCTAGGGTTTCCCCGCTCTGCCCTCTTAACCTAATTTGCGAAACTACACCTGTGTGGTGGAGGCTTAACAACCGTGACGCGTGGTGGACTCGCCACCGGATCACTTCAGATCAGATGTCTGGGATTCAGGGCTCATTTCTCAAGCAGGGACAAGGCCGGGCCTGCGCTCTACATCGACCGGGGCCCCTGAGGCAATGAAGGGGCCCCTGTGTCGATCTGCGGACCACAGTGCATAACAAAGGCTCTGCATGACAAGGAGCCAAGAACCGGCCGGTGACAGTGTTAGAGAGGCCCGCAGAGGAGCCCGAAGGCCCTTCAGGACTAATGATCAAATGCCTGACTGAAAGTTACGACGGACTGACTGTAGGTCACATCATGGATGCTGATTTCTCAAAACGATTGGAGAGGGCCAAAGTCCCAAAAGTTGTCATGAGGAGAGCAGGCATGGAAACCTTCTCGGATTTATTCACTTATGGTCTGGTGTTTCCAGTACATATATATATATATATATATATATATATATATATATATATATATATATTGCAACATCTACAAGTTATTTAACACCTGCCCGGGTGGCCGGCTAGATACCCTTTGCTCGGGTGGGGGGGCAATTTGACTTCCCTGAGATCTCGGGAACTAAGAACACCAAAGACACCAAATTCGCGGGGTGCTTTGACCTGTACGTGAACTCACCTAGGTCAAATTTTCAGGTTCCCAGGTTATGACCTTTGGGTCAAAAAAAGTCAAACTAGGTCAAGTTCCAGGCTGGTCTCCAAGGTGCCTCCAGAACGTAGACAGCCGTTTCTAAGCAAAAGGCCGCATTCTCATTCAAGGTCAGTGACCATTTTTAACCTTTTGAATGTCGAGGTGACCAAGTTCATGCAAGATCGCTTTCAGTTTTGCATCTGACTAAGCGACAAAGATTACGCTAGGCATTATGTTCATAGCACAAAATGTCGACCCGGGTCATCTTAGATCAATGACCTTTTCTGACCTCTAAGAAGTCGATGGAAGGTGTATAATGCGGTTCCTGCTGTCAATAAATTCGAAATGAGTAACACAAACTATCCCATACAGCAAACTCTAGAGTAATAAATCAGACTGGTTGTGACCTTGGTCTGACATTCTGTAATGTTCGTCACACGCGGTTTGCTCGTGACAGCGGCGCAGAAAACAACACAGAGGAGGTTCACCGGAAAGCTGTATTTCCCGTAGTGCTGAGGACGCTGGCGCGCCATAGTGGTGAACTTATATACAGAAAGGTAAGTGTTACGAAATCACCGCTGGTGCATTCGCGTACACTACATATCCCGACACGTTAAGTTGAAGCGCCTACGGCACTTAGACAAGGAATGACAACAATTTCGACAGCAAATGATACGCCGGCTCGCGGGTCTGAGCGGGGCTCGGCAGCGGCCTAGCTGCCCAGCTTTCGCGGCTGGAACCGTCGCCGGCCGAAGGAGGACGGCAGCAGCTCTTTGCCGGCGCCATGCGGTGTGCCCGCCCGGGCTCGAATGGGCGACTGACGTCCATCTGGAGCAGGGGACCCTGGTGCGACGGGTTGAGCCGCTCGTGAAGCCTCACGCGGGGGCGAAGTTGGCCGAGCCGCGTGGTGGTCTGGTGCTGCGTGCTGAGCCTCGTGCTGGTCCACCAAGGTCGGCGGCGGACTGTCGGCTCCGGAGGCAGATGAGTCTCCGTCAGGCGTCACGGCCGGACTGGTTGCGGGTACGGCCGCCAGGTGTGCCGCGTTCCATCGCGTTCCGTCCGACAGGAGAAACGTCGCTCTGCCGACGCGCCGGACCACCGTCTGTGTCGCCCCGAACCGCGACAGGTTCTTGGGCGTGTGTCCAGGTCGACGAACTCGGACCATGTCTCCTGGTAGGATGGTCGGTGTCTTCACGCCGCGGCGCCTGTTGTAGTTGCGCGCGTTGCGTCGCTGTTGTTTCTGGACGCGCGTGCGCATATCAGCGTCTGTCGCGTTGGCCGACATCACCGGCAGGTCAAGGCGCATGCGGCGGCCGTGCAGACTCTCAGAGGGCGAGATGCCGGTGGTGCAGCGTAGGGCTGCGCGGTACAGCGCCAGGCGGCGCTCAATGTGCGCGGCGAAGGCCTGCGCCGTCCGCGACGGTTGCTGGGTGGCCTCCAGCAGCCACGTCTTTAGCGTGCGGTTAAACCGTTCGATGGCTGCATTCCCGCGGGGCCAGTAGAGGGACGATTTCCGGTGACGGATGCCGCGGCCGCTCAGGTACGTCTCGAACTTGGCACTCGTGAACTGGGACCCGTTGTCGCTCACGACTTCGTCACAGTATCCCTCACGGGACCACATGGTGCTGAGAAGACTGATGACGTCATCTGTCTCGACGGACGGCGTCAGGGCGACCCGCGGCCACTTGCTGGCGTAGTCGATCACGGTGATGGCGTAGCGGGCTGACGGTGGCGCACCTGCGATCGGTCCAACGACGTCGATGCCGAGCTTGGACCAGGCTCGGTCCGGAAGAGGGACCGGCTGCAGCGGGGCAGGGCGCGCCCTCTGGGAGAGGACGGCCTCCTTGGTCCGGCAGGTCTGGCAGTCGCGGATGAGGTCGGTGATGGCTCGCGTCATACCGGGCCACCACGCGAGATTCCTAAGCAGTTGTTTCGTGCGCACGATTCCCTCGTGCGATTGGTGGGCCACCTGTAAGTACTTGTCGGTCAGGGCGACTGGTACGACGACACGGTCGGGACCTCGCAGGATAATGTCGTCATCGCGCAGCTGGAGTTCATGACGGACGCCGAAGAACTGGCGAAGCGTCGCCGAGCACTTGCGCGCCGATTCCGGCCAGCCGGTACGGATGGCTTCACGTACTTCCTTCAGTGATGGATCGGCTTCCGATGCTGCCTGGATCTCGGCGTCGGGAAGCACGTCTGCGGCGGCGTCCGTGACGAGGGCGATGATGTCATCGCCATCGGGCTCGGCGCCGGCCGTGTCCGGCAGGGGGAGCCGGGACAGCGCGTCTGCGACAGGGATGGTGGGTCCCGGTTTGTACTCGACGGAGTACGAGTAGGGCAGTAGGCGTGACTGCCACCTGGCGATCCGTGCTCCTGCTCGGTTGGACGACTTCGGCGAGAGCAGGGTCGTGAGTGCCGAGTGATCGGTTTTGAGCTTGAAGAAACGTCCCCAGAGGTAGATCCGCCAGTGCTCGATCGCGTTCACGGCGCTGAGGGCTTCTTTTTCTGAGACGGAGTACCTGGACTCGGCCTCCGTGAATGACCGGGACCAGTATGCGAATGGGCGCTCCTCACCGCTGTACTGGGTCTGCGTGAGGACAGCGCCGGCGCCGCGGTCACTCGCGTCCGAAGTGACGACCGTCGGCAGGTGCGGGTCGAACGGCCGCATGACGGGGCTGGTCGAGATCAGCTGTTTCACCTTGCTGAAGGCCAGCTGTTGTTCCTGGGTCCACTGGAAGGTCGTGCCCTTCTTGAGGAGGTCGGCCATCGGTCGGACGACCGTGGCGTACGCCGGCACGAAACGGCTGAACCATCCGGTGGTCCCCAGGAAGCTGCGTAGCTCCCTGACGTTGGTGGGAGGCGGCGCCTCAACCACGGCGCGGACGGTTGACGTTAGGGGGACGACCCCGGCGCTGGACAGCTTATGGCCGCAGAACTCGATGGTGGTCTGCCTAAAGACGGATTTGGCCTGGTTTATGGTGACGTTGGACCGGGCGAGGCGGTCCAGGACCTCTCGGAGGCGGGCGTCGTGTTCCTGATGGTCTTTCCCGGACACGAGAATGTCGTCCAGGTAGTGTCCACAGCCAGGGATACCCTCTAGCAGGCTGCTGAGCAGTTTCTGGAAGGCGCTGCCGCTGGAGACCAGGCCGAATGGGACTCTTGTGTACCTCATGAGGCCGTCAGGCGTCAGGAAGGCCGTGACGTTGCGCGAGTCCTTGTGGAGACGGAGCTGGTGGTATGCTGTCTTGAGGTCTATGCGGCTGTAGACACTCCCGCAGAGCTTCGACTCCAGCTCGTCTATTGTGGGCAGAGGGTGAACCTCAGCGACGATCTGTGCGTTTGGCCCACGGAGGTCGACACAGATGCGTATCCGACCGTCTTTACGCCGGGACACGGCAAGGGGGCTTACCCACTCAGAGGCGTCGACCTTTTCGATGACGCCGGCTTGCAGAAGACGTTGCAGCTCGGCCGACACTTCCTTGCGGACTGAGAGGGGAAGTCGGCGGAGCCGGTAGGCTGTTGGCACGGCACCGGGTTTAAGCACTATCCGGTGCTCATACCCCTCGATTGCAGGCAGGTGCTGCGCTTCCGTCTCCACGCTGTAAATTCTGTGGGAAGCTGGGTGGAGGGTGATGCTGAGGGCATTGAGCAAATCCAGGCCCATGATGGCCTCTTGGTTGGGCGTCTCCACCAAGTAGAATGTAGCAGGTGCGTCCTGCCCATTGAAGCGGACTACTGTTGACAGGGTTCCCTTTACAGACAGAGGGTTCTTGCCAAAGCCGTACAGGTTTGCGAAGGTAGACTCGAATGGGACGCCCTTGAACAGCTGACGCGCCAGGTCCATGCTGAGAATGGAGCAGGTGGCACCGGTGTCGACCTGGAGTAACACGTCTCGCTGGACGCCTGCACCGGCAGTGACAGACACTGTGCAGGTCATCTTGGAGGTGTTGACGTGGTTGGAGCAGGACAGTACCTGGAGTTCCTTGCAGGTTGGCTTGTTAGGGCCTTGCGGTTTCTCCTTGCTGCGGCACCAGGACGAGAAGTGCCCTTTACGTCCACATGTGTGGCAGGTGACTCGCCTGGCCGGACATGTCTTTTCCCTGGGCTGGTGGTCCTTGCGTCCGCAGTTGGTGCACGCTGGGCTGGGAGAAGGCCCACCAGGCGTGTGGCGTCTGGAGACCGTGGTGACCTTAGCCACAGCTCCCAGGTGAGTAGCAGGTGGGGCCATGACAGCAGCTTCCCGCAGGGAGCGTTCGAAGGCCTCTGCGAGCAGCAGCACCTTTTCCAGCGTGAGGTCCTTATCCTGTAAGAACCTCTCTCTTAGCCTTTGGTGCACCGTCTTCTCCACAACCACATCGCGAATGAGTTCGTCCGTCATGGCACCAAATGCACATGATCTGGCTAGGCCACGTAGGGCGGACACAAAGTCTGCAGTGGACTCATCCACCAGTTGGCCACGCTGGCGAAAGGCAAACCTTTCCACTATTACATTGGTGCGTGGCGTATAAAACTCACGCAACTGGCGCAGTGCCAAGTCGAAATCTGTTTCGAGGTCGGTCTTCACGCCTGGAGGAAGGGTGCCAAAAAGGCGGTACGCCTCGTCTCCGACACAGTGGAGGAGCACGGCACGCTGGCGAGCGGGGCTGAAGGTTTCTCCGGAGATGGCGAGAAGATAATTCCGGAATTTTCCTTCCCACGTAGGCCAGTCGACGATCGGTTTCCCCGGCGTGGGCAAAAATGGCGCAGGAGGCTGCACACCGTCCAGGCCCATTTCTCCGCTTCGCGTGCGATTGATCCGCCTAGCAAGACTACCAGCACTGCTAGACAACAGTGGCTATAAAGTGAGCGCGGATCCCATCCTCGTCGCCATTGTGTAATGTTCGTCACACGCGGTTTGCTCGTGACAGCGGCGCAGAAAACAACACAGAGGAGGTTCACCGGAAAGCTGTATTTCCCGTAGTGCTGAGGACGCTGGCGCGCCATAGTGGTGAACTTATATACAGAAAGGTAAGTGTTACGAAATCACCGCTGGTGCATTCGCGTACACTACACATTCATACCTGACTTTTGGTCAGCGTGATTTGCTCATTCAATATTTGTAGCGCCTAAGAAAGCATCTCAGAGAAGTATGGCCTCGTCAAGCACTCCGTCATTTTATCAGATTGGACGATTTCCTAGAAATTGCCTTTGCTAAAACCATGGTCTGATTTTGACCTGCCATAGGTCAGCGGCCTTACTAAGCACATCTAATTTTGTTATTTCAAACGATCCTCTACTCAGTTGTCTACAACTATGCAAAATTTGGCGCTGCTACGTTGCGCCGTTCGGAAACCATTCTGGAAAACCCTCGGGGGGGGGGGGCAATTTGACCCCCACCCGATCGCGTGTTAAAGCTCGCGTGCGTTGCCGCCGCAGTGTTCACAACATATGTGGCTATCACACACGAGCTCTCAACGAACCGAAGTTTCATTGATAAAACCTATGCATTTCAATTAACGTAAAACAAAACATAAACACTCCTCCAGACACCAGTTACGAAAATGGTCGTCAACTTCTCCCAAATAGCATAAGTGGATGCCCTCCTCATGCGAATGCCTTCCCCGTTCATTTCATTACACAGGCTTTATAAGCATGCAGTGTTTTGGGGGATCCTGTTCGAGGCCTTTTTGCGCCTCTGAAGGGAAAGCGACCCTAACCCGCTTCAGTTTGAATGTGTGGCCAATGAAATCCCGTCATGTTGATGCTATGTGCAATGCGGGTTGAGTACGAGAGCATTGCTAGTTGGGCTGGCTCTTCAGTGGCCGTATGCGATCATACTGATGTACTCATACTCGGTGCACGATGAGCGACTCACATAAGTGCGCAGCCAGAATTTTGGTAAGGGGGAGGGACACAGGATCGACAAAGGGCCCTGGTGAAAGGCCCCCAACCAAAATATTACCGGGCATCGTCCACTTGATTTCAAGAGGCATGATTTGCTCCGTTTTTGTTCAAGAATACACCCATTTTTGGAAACAAGCCAGACGGCACCGAAAGATGTCATTCTGTAAGCATTCTGAGGTCAATAACCGGAAGAAATAGTGTCTTAACACGCGTCCGGGTGGCCGGCTAGATTCCCTTCGTTCGGGTGGGGGTCAATTTGCCCCCCCCCCTTGAGATCTCGGGAACTAAGAGAGGTTGGTTTTGACCCTTTAACAGGCTTAAAAAGGTTGATTTTGACCTTGGTGTGACCTTTATACCTGACCTTAGGTCAATTTACTTTGCTCATTCACCTGTTATGTTGTCTAAGAAAGTATCTCAGAGGTGTATGGCTTCATCTAGCACTCCGTTATTGGATCAGATTGAAGGATTCGCTAGAAATTGCCTTCGCTGAAACCATGGCCTGACTTTGACCTGCCATAGGTCAGCGACCTTACAAGGTACACCTAAACTGTTGATGTCAAACGATCCACTATTCAATTTTCCACAGCCACGCATAATTTGGCGCTGCTTCGCCGCGCTGTTCGGAAACCATTCTGGAAACACCTTCAGGGGGGGGGGGGGGAGGAGTTCAGTTTGACCTCCCCATCTTAGCGCGTGTTAAGCGATTACATGGAAAAAAACTACCGGTACTTTTTATTTCGCAATTGTTCAGTGGCCACTCTCTGAGCGATAATACCCAGGGTTTTGGTAGATTTTTGTGCTGTGTTGTGCAGGGACATTGTGAACGTAGATGATAGTTAACGTAGATTGTAGGTCGAAATGGGGTTGTTGTTGCTTTGACACTCCCAACCCTTGCGTGTCAGGGAATTTACAGCCTTTTCCAGAATCCAGTTATGAAAGAAGTACATCACATGCTTTTGACCATGTGCGCTGGCGGGCCTTAGAGAAAAAAACCTGATGCCCTGCGTTGCAGCCTCCGCAGGCCGCGCGGCGTTTGCCCCGTGGTCAGCATCAGGCGGAGGTCAGCGGTCGGATAAAAATAACATTGTTTTCGAAAAAGCATCTTTGAATGCTTGAGGAGGTCAGCTCGTATGTTTAGAAAGTAACCCGCGAGTATGTGTTATATAAGCAATTTTAGACTTAGAACTGAAACGCGTCAGCATTCACCACACATTAGGCAGGTGCTGGAATTTGACCACGGAACAAGATAAGTTATGGTGAATTCTCCGCGTTCGGGCTGCTGACGGTGTTAATCTACTCAGAGAACATTTCAAAATAGTGCAGGTGAAATGTGCGCCCAAACCCGATAGCTGAACGGTACGGCTCTATTTAGAGATTTCGGAAACATTATTTTATGGTGGCTGTTCTCGCGCACCAGGCGCCCGCCCCCCGATGATAGCTGTATTGCCCGACACCACTCATCTGTTGGAAAGCTGCAGCGCCGGCCATTGATGATTTTGCATCTCATTGAGGCTTTCTGACGCACTCAGCTGCTGAGGCTATATGGCGCCGCTTGCCTCTCACGCGGGCGGCGGGGAATCGGAAGAGGCGGACAGAAGGGCGGGCACCGCGGGGAATCGAACCCCGTACCTCTGGCTGCCCAGACGCACAGTGGTTAGCGCAGATGCGTTACCCACTACACTATGGGCATCCCAGCACGCAGGCTCAGAATTTGCTTACGTAATTTGTTTCACATGTGGACCCGGATGAGGATGGACGCCTTCATTGGCGTCTGCCCTTTTCAGTTTTAGCCTCGTTTTGATCCGTCCTATCGAAAACCACAGAAACACTTGCCTTTTCCGAGGAAGGGCACACATCGCAGTACGCTAGGGGCACATTATTCTTCCCGGTCGGAGTTTCAAGTAAGGGTTAATTCCATTACAGCGCTGGGTGCCTGACAGCTGCCATGCTGGCGTCTCCGAAGGGGGGGGGTCTCTTGGTCGATGCGGAAGCCCTTAGAGGGATCAGTGATGCATTGGTCGCCAGCCTGATGCCGGAGCCTCCTGAACTGAGTATTTGGCCCCGATCAACCGCGGGGCACGCCGCACGTGTCCAGTAATTGGCACGGAGATTCCAGCTTATCAAAACGAGCCCTGACTGAAATGGGATGGAGAGCTCCCCGTTCTGAACTGGAGTCGCTGACTGTCGCTGGGCCTTACATTGCCTTTTTTGGACTCCCATCATGATCTATCATATCCACTTTCGTTGTCAGAGGGTCTCGACCAATACAACAGACCCTCTAACATTCGGGGTTCAGTCCGTAACCCTGTTCAGCAAATGTTACCCCGTCCGATTCAAGGCCCCTAACCGACATATCGCCTTCTGTTGGGCACTGTGGGGGCCTGACCGACACAGGAGCATATATTGTTTCAGGGGTCCCGACCAATGCAAATCGCGTGTGCCGACCTTGTCCTTGCTTGGGAAATGGGCCCCCAGGGCTCAGACCGGCATGGAGCCGATTATTCGGTGTTGGTGCTCTTTGACCGATACAGAGGCCCACATTGTCCCAGCGTATCCGCATCGGTGCAAGAGGCCTTGTGACTGATATTTGAGGGTACGGCCTTGCGGGTCGGGGTCCTCGATGTGACCCACCTACGTGACCTCAGAGACCCCACCAACACTACTCCTGATCCATTGGGGCCCGTTGTCATAACAGGACCCTTATCAGGCACTGGAATTCCCGGACCGACACAGGGGGCCCTCATTAACTAAGGGGCCCAGCCGATGTAAATCGTGGAACCACCCCCATCTCTGCCTGGGTGATGGGCCCGTGTCCCAGATCAGGCGCTTGAAAAATCTGGTGGCGAATCCGCCTCCGTCACAGGTGTGTAATTCGCAAAATTGGCTTGGGGGCTGAAAGGGGAAACCTTGCCACAAATACACTAAAAAATAGTCCCCCCCCAATTTGCTCCGCTTTTCTCT